ATGTGGAAATCGTCATTAAATTGTGTTATCATCAATGTTCCACATGTATCCTGGCTATGAATGCAGCCCAGCTTCCTCAACTTTTGCATTTATTCAAAATCAGATTGAAGGAAGTGTCATAGACAGTTATGACAAAGGTGAGTTGGTCTCCATGGTCTCCAGTGATGTTTAAAGCCTTGTCGGTGTGAACCGTGAAGGACTGAGGCATCGCTGAGTGGAACCCCCTGATGGATTCTGCCATCAGGCGGTTCCACTGCTCTGAAACTGGAGTTGACAGTCTTCAAGTAAAATATGTAATGGTCTACAGCACAAACTCTAGTTTTGGTGCCAACCTAAATGAAGAAAGAGTTCAAATCAAAGTCGGCATAAACATACCAAAAAGAAAAAGGCAAAAAAAAATTGACATAGCTAATAAAAACTAATTTAAACACATAAAAACGAAGCAACATCTAGTAATGGGACTTTAAATGTAACACTCGGGAATCATGTGACACTGCAACCAGCTAATAGAAAACAACAGGCCAGAAAACACAAGTTACAATTTATCAGCCTTTATGGAAAATTCACATGTTTTGCAGTGTGGTACAGCATAGGCATTACTGCTTGCTATGAGACGGGGTTGGCCTGTTTGCCTTTCTGGATATTATCTTTCCCGGTACCCAGTCGAACTGATGAGGGAAAAAGAGAAGTTTGAGAAGCACACAGGAAGGTGGGCAAGAGCAGCAGACTGACTGAAAAACAAGCAGAGAGCATGAATATTTTGAGAGGACAGCCGAGCACCAGCAGCCTAACAAAGAGCCTGATTTTCAGACTGTGCAGTAAAAGACCTGTTCGTCTGAATGTCAACAGCAACTGAATGTTACACCTCCTCTAATAAAACACTCTTTTAATGAAGTACAGTTTTGCTTAGGGCACACTGAAGTAAAACTACTCATCAAGTTAATTTGCTTAATTATTCAGCAGAGTCTTCTGTCTGAAAGGACATCTGTTACAAAACAGAGTGTGTGTGTGTGTGTGTGTGTGTGTGTGTGTGTGTGTGTGTGTGTGTGTGTGTGTGTGCGTGCGTATGTTCTTACTGGTATGTGGGTGTATGTGTGGGTGTGTGTGGCTCTGTGTGTGAGTGGGAGTCGAAGAGAACCAGATATGCTATGTTAACGGGTGTGCTAAAGGTTGTTACTAAAACGTCCACCCTAATTTTAGTGATACTCTACTGCCCCCTTCTGGTTCAGCTGAATCATTGCAAAAGTCATAGTTATGACTGAAAACAAAATGTGGTCCGTTTATGCCATCTGGGGGCCAACCATGTAACAAACCAAACACACTTGTTGCATCACAGCACATACCTATGCATGTAATTGTGTTACCAACAGCCACATTTGATTTTAAAATTAATAAATAAATAAATAAATAAAAAAGGGGGGAAAAAATATAGAATCAGTTTATATTACTGAGACAACTACAATTTTTACAAAATGTCTCTCCAAAATGGGAGATTAAAAAAATATTCTTTTAAAAATATCTTTATAATTTTAACCATAATTGCATAGATTTATCATTGTTAAAGGTATGTGAGGCCGCAGTAATAATGTAATGCACAAAATGACATTTAATACAAGGGTTTGACTTTGAGATTTCATTTTTCTATTGCTCAGCTGGAGGCAATATGCTATCACAATATGCTCTGCTAAGAAATATGCACTTCCATTTCTAATAACAAATTAGAACAAGTGGATGAACCATGGGAACCAGTTCTTAAAAACAGCTATTTTAAACAAATGCATCAGTGCAGTAATTTTGCATATTTACCGACAGTGTATGATATGTTAATACCACAAAGCAATGATACACATCTGACTTCCTGTTTCATTTTTGACAGTCTGGCCCCGCTGAGAACAGAAAATAAAGACATAAGCATTTTACCAAATTAATGTTGCACATGACTAAAGGACAAGAACACACTGCTCTCTGTATTGATAATTTACAGGAATACCATATTGTTTATACATTTCAGAAAAATTGTTATTCTAAATATTTTGAGTCAGAATGTCTTATCATGTTATCTATCATATCTATCATGTCTTTCTGAAAACAGTTGTAAATGGTAAATGGCCTGTATTTGTATAGCGCTTTACTAGTCCCTAAGGACTAAGGACCCAAAGCGCTTTACACATCCAGTCACACACACATTCACTCACTGGATGTAGCATAGAAGCAGGGATGGTGTTGTATTGTATATGTAGTGTTTTAGTTCATTGTGCTATGAATAAATTAAGAAGAGGCTGAGAGGAAAGGCAGATCTGTTGGTAGTGAACAAAAGAAAACAGCACCACCTATAGAAACAACAGCAATTTCACTAAATATATTGAGGCTTGAATGTCACTTCATAAGTGAGTTTACTTTTAATAAGTAATACGTTTCCCATTCACAAAAACAGCTTTTCATCATCACCCCATGAAACACCTCACTACCCAGGATATTAAGTTCAATACAAATAAACTAAATTAAAACGATATGTGAAAATGTATTATATTCAATGGAAATACTAATAAAAACTATACTTAAAAATGAAATAATACTGGGTGTTGGCAAAAATAAAAATAAAACATACAGTAAACCTTTCCATTGTTATTTAAGTGAAATTTGTCAACACAACCAATCTGAGGAAGCTTTGGTGAATATTTTTACTGTCTTAATAATGTTTGTATTATAATACCTGTTCTGACCTTCTTATGTTTTGCTGCTTGACAGTTAACATACAAAAACTAACGTTTGAAACTGATGACAACTGAAAATATGGAATGAAAGATTTAAAAAAATTAATGTGAAAATCTGTTTTGGAAAAAAATATATACAGTGGGGCAAAAAAGTATTTAGTCAGCCACCGATTGTGCAAGTTCCCCCACCTAAAATGATGACAGAGGTCAGTAATTTGCACCAGAGGTACACTTCAACTGTGAGAGACAGAATGTGAAAAAAAAAAATCCATGAATCCACATGGTAGGATTTGTAAAGCATTTATTCGTAAATCAGGGTGGAAAATAAGTATTTGGTCAATAACAAAAATACAACTCAATACTTTGTAACAAAACCTTTGTTGGCAATAACAGAGGTCAAACGTTTACTATAGGTCTTTACCAGGTTTGCACACACAGTAGCTGGTATTTTGGCCCATTCCTCCGTGCAGATCTTCTCGAGAGCAGTGATGTTTTGGGGCTGTCGCCGAGCAACACGGACTTTCAACTCCCGCCACAGATTTTCTATGGGGTTGAGGTCTGGAGACTGGCTAGGCCACTCCAGGACTTTCAAATGCTTCTTACGGAGCCACTCCTTTGTTGCCCGGGCGGTGTGTTTTGGATCATTGTCATGTTGGAAGACCCAGCCTCGTTTCATCTTCAAAGTTCTCACTGATGGAAGGAGGTTTTGGCTCAAAATCTCACGATACATGGCCCCATTCATTCTGTCCTTAACACGGATCAGTCGTCCTGTCCCCTTGGCAGAAAAACAGCCCCATAGCATGATGTTTCCACCCCCATGCTTCACAGTAGATATGGTGTTCTTGGGATGCAACTCAGTATTCTTCTTCCTCCAAACACGACGAGTTGAGTTTATACCAAAAAGTTCTACTTTGGTTTCATCTGACCACATGACATTCTCCCAATCCTCTGCTGTGTCATCCATGTGCTCTCTGGCAAACTTCAGACGGGCCTGGACATGCACTGGCTTCAGCAGCGGAACACGTCTGGCACTGCGGGATTTGATTCCCTGCCGTTGTAGTGTGTTACTGATGGTGACCTTTGTTACTTTGGTCCCAGCTCTCTGCAGGTCATTCTCCAGGTCCCCCCGTGTGGTTCTGGGATCTTTGCTCACCGTTCTCATGATCATTTTGACCCCACGGGATGAGATCTTGCGTGGAGCCCCAGATCGAGGGAGATTATCAGTGGTCTTGTATGTCTTCCATTTTCTGATGATTGCTCCCACAGTTGATTTTTTCACACCAAGCTGCGTACTTTGCGTACTTATGTCAGTAAAAGCATCAGAATTTTATGGTCAGCGTGAACAACATTTGCATTCTTTGGATAAATGTCCTCATCATTATCAGTCCAAAGTGAGATTTGAAAAAAATAACTCCTAATCTACACTGCAAATAAAAGCGTAAATTGCAGCCATGAGCCATTTAGTCAGCAAATGCTGATTATAATAACATTGCTCTAATAATTGTGCACAAAAGCTCTGGTTTGTCACTTCAGGCATTGCCCCTATCCTTGATAACCTTAAAAACAATGGGACCTCCAGGGTGGAACAGATTGACCTAATAACACCAGTATAGGTTTATAGATCAATATCAATAATTTTAGAAGTCAGCAATTCAGTACTGTAAGTGATATGTCGTAATTTGTGTAGTGAGAGCACATTAAAAGTAGTTTTTATTGATCTGTTATATGTCTGAGAAAAGTCATGAATTTACTGTAAAATCAGCAGTCTATTGTGAATGTGGACAAGTATTATTATGTATGTCACCCCCTCTCTATGTGCCTAACGCCCTCTATAATGCACGAGTTCCTAACAAACCAATCAACAAGCAATTCAACATAACTAAAGGTGAACATTTGCTCCCCAAGATGTATCATCCAACTCAAGCAAATCACAAATCAAGTTCTCCAGACAACTCCTTTTGTCTGGAAAACTGGAAAACAGAAATATATGCTCGGAGAGTATATAAAAAGAATATTTAATCTGGGTGTAGTTATAAAAGCTATAAAAGAAAAATTGAAAATTTTTAAAAATACCACATATTCAGTATGCACCCATACAGTCTGAACGCACTATAAGTGAACTTTCTTAGTGTGCACAGAAAATAATTCATAGTTTATTTCATTGGTTAGACACAAATATCCTAATTTCTAGTGAACACAAACAGTGATAACGTTATATAAAGATTAGTATTTTCCATGTGTGTGAGCGTATGAGCTCATCTGTGAGTGTTTTGAGTGGACTCTCACCGAGCTGGTGGGCCTTTCTGAGGCAGGAGAGGGAAGCGTTGAGACGGGCACACTCCTCTTCACTGGCACCAAACTTTTGCAGCAGCTCACACACCTGCTCCTCGCTCATCTCCAGCAAGCCCTCCAGGGTCACCTCACCTGGACTCATTTCCTATCAAATATACACATGCAACATGCATGCAGCTTAAAGACCACCACAAATACACATCTAGCTCAAAAACCTAGATATTTAGATATACATTTAATGGAATAAGTTACCGTAATAGATAATTTTCTTTATTATACAGTGTAACAACATTAAGGATGATCAGGATTTTCTATAATGAGGCCATCAAACTTACAAGTAATCCCTGTAAACCAAATCCTCATGAAACAATTGATCTATATCAGCTCAACATCAGTTGTTTCCACTCATGACTCTCCACGATGTCAATCACAGTGCATATGTTTATATGGACATCTCCGACACCGCACATACTGCTAAAACCTCCTGCTTAAAGCAATAAAGAAAGGGGCTAAAATAGTGCCAGTGGGTGAGCTGAGGTGATACACAAAGGCCCAGTATGAGATGCATAGAGACTCCACTAGTACACGAAAACTTCGAAACTCAGTGCTATGGCATTTACAGCATTTTAGTAAGCTTTTAGCCAGAGGGTGATATGAGCTGTCAGATTTCGCTCTCAGTCACCAGTATGGAAACCTCAACTGCTAAAAGCTACAATCTGATAGTGACAGTGAAATGTTTAAATGTTAAGTATAAAAACTTTATTCAAATCTGTACAAAACATATTTTTTTTAAAATGAGAGAAGGCAGAAAAAGGCAATGTGTTAAAAAGTTCTTGGAACAGTTTGTCAAATACAGAAAAATATCATCTGAAATTTTGACTTTGAAGCAATGATCATGAGATGTATTTTGAGTGTAAAAAATGGTTACTACGTGGTATCACGGCTTACCTGTGTGACCTCTTTCCTCAAGTTGACAATGCGGAACCAGTGGCCGAGGCGAGGAAAGTCCTCCAGCTCGGCACTGCGTTCCTCTAAGGCCACTTTGCACTTACAGGACAGCTGGCGGCTGAAGTACTTTACCAACTTCCCCTAGGAGGAAGAAAGACAAAAACAGTGAGACGATGCTTCTCCTGACCAAACTACTTTCACATTTTTAACATATCTACATACAAAAGTAATTCTCTGTGCTGAAAAAGTACGTTTCACCTCTCGGTTTCTCTTTCCTTTGTTTTCTATAAAATTCCTTTAAAACTAAAGCACAAATAAAACAATGGAAATTGTTTTAATATTACTCCGAAACCACTGGAAGAGTGGAACCTACCTCAGCTGTAATGGGTTAAAGGCAAGGTATATCCTGAACAGGTCAACAGTTTGTGTCAGTTTTGCAAAAATCCTGCCCGGTGTAGTGCTTTATAAAACAAAAGCAAACTTTACATTTTAAAAACAAATCATGTGTTTTTAAATCCTATTAAATAATCCTAATATGTTTAAATGTGCAGGAAAAAAAGATTTTAATTATATTTTTAGCCTGTTGTTGAAAAATCCCAGAAATCAAAGCAGTCACATAAGGTCATGCCAGTACCATAGTCATGGTAATATCCTATCAGTCAGTTAGGAAGAGCCTCTGGTGTCACAGAAATTCCAGGACAGCCTGTTTAATCAGCTCAGGCAAAGCAAATGAAACACTGTTTCATCATTTAACCCCTCTTCAACTCGCTGCTGAGTGATTATTGGTTGAAAGCTGTGATTATATCAGAAACCTCCTCTAAACTGAAAAATGGTGCTGATACAAAGACACATACAAGTGGGCAGATGCATGCAGGCTTTTCCTTTGTTAGAAGTCATTCTTCCTGCCACAGACACGTGGCTTGTTAGTGAAGGAGGATGTCATTTGCAAAAATAATAAATCATCAATTGGCGATAGCGCTGCAATAAATTGTAATAACTTTGCATGTGATGTTGTATATTTTTGTAAGACAACATACAGCAAAAAAAACAAAAAAATAATACAGTTCGTTTTTTTAAATTGTATAATTTAAATTGACTGTTTATCAAAATAGAAGTCTGCATTTTCTCCCTGTGCTTGTGTGGGATCTCTCCGGGTACTCCCGCTTCCTCCCACAGACCAAAGATATGTAATTGGTGGTGTTAGGTTAATTGGAGAATCTACATTGCCCATAAGTGTGAATGTGAGTGATTGTCTGCCTCTCTGTGTCAGGCTGGCGACCTGTCCGGGGTGTGCCCCACCTCTTGCCTTATGGTATCTGGGATGGGCTCCAGCCCCCCGCAACCCCGAAAAGGATAAGCGGAAGAGAATGGTTGGATGGATGTTTATCAAATTTATTTACAGTTTGATTCCAAGTGAATTCTGTAGCTCACTCTCACACCATAAATTTATATCAATATCTACACAAATCTAAATCTAAAATAGCTATAAATAAATAAGTAAATATTATACTGGTTGATTTTTAATTGTTACATTTTTAGCTGTGTAGTTTTTAGCCAATTTTACAAGTTCACCTAACATATCAAATGCACCTGATGACAAACAGGTAGCTCTATTCACACCTTGCTCCTGATTTCATATTACTCCACTCAAAACCAGTGGTCAACACCAAACAGCCAACAAAGAAGTTGTGGCAATGTAAAGAACAGCAGTGCCAGTGTTATATTTGCCATGTCTGCCAGTATACCACAATCCACTTGGGTCCGAGTGACCTACAATTTGTCATCAAATGGTGAGCCAAAAGGCTCTGTGCAAACATTCACACACATAAAACACTATAACATGCTAACCACGTATATAGGCTCCAAGCAGGCTCTAAGCAAACTTGGGGGGGGGTTAAATAAATGCAGCTACTTGTCTGTGGTCTCATTAATCCAACTTACAGTAAATAACACTAAAAAGCAAAATTTTGACTGAACTATTCTATTTTTCTAAAAATGTTTTACAAATGCTCAATCAAGAAGCAGTTTTATATTTAAGAGCCTATGTATTTGCAAGTAAGCATAACATTTATTCAATACATTGGTGACAGTATTCACTTTAAAACATCCTTATTTACTTACTTATTATTAACTAAACTACACTGCTAAGTTGAGTGCTTGTCCAAATTAAAGCAGTTTACAGTCATGTATAAAGAGTGCCCTCTCCCTGCAGGGAACTCTACACTGAAAATATTATTTAACACAAGTTCACTCATGGGTCAGATGCAAGCATGTTATTTAGCGACAGCAAGAAATTTGCATCCATAGTGAGTTCCGTCTGTCATTTTGAAAGTTGTGTGATTTATCACAGTTAGATCACTACACTTTTATTTTAGCTGTGCACACAAATCTCTAAGATATACAGGCAACTATTCAAAAAGCTGGCTCTATAGTTTTGTGGTTTACTCGGGGGTTTTTTTGGGGGGTTTTTTTGCTTTCTCTTTTCTTTTTTCCTTTCTTTTTTAAAAACCAGCAAAAATATAAATACATTTTTTCAAATGTAACAGCATAAAAGCGCAGTCGAAGGAAGCATTGCATAATTCTTGTAAAAAAATCGGAATACATATTTGATAAACTATTTGTCAAATACATGCTTTTTCTTCATATATGACAGATATGTTCAAATGTTCTAATATTATTTCTGGTTTTCAATCAATTTTACATTAAAAAAATGAACAAAACAACATTCATTTAGATACTTAAAACTAAAGTTCTGTATAATATACTGGGATCATCTTATCACTAAGATGTAGCTGTTCTGGTGACTCCAAAAATACTACATATCAGGAAGTTACAGTGAAGTCGTGATATTGGGTATATGTCCATCATTTGCTACTTCCATGTTTCTGTTTAAAACAAAACCTAAACAAACATCTTATTTTTTTAGATGTGTAATATTTAAAATATTCAAAACACCTTTGCAGATTAATGAAATATCTGAAAATGGTTACCATCAGAATGTTTACATTTGGACTAATTACCAACAAATTACAATAAAAGTAATACCTCTGAAAAATATATTTCCAGTGTGATATGCACTCACCAGCCACTTTATTAAGTACACCCATTGAGTTGATCAATAACACAGACATTTATTCAGCCAATTACATGACAGCAGTGCATGTAGCCAAGCAGACATGGCCATGAATACTTGAAATTCAAACCGACCATCAGAATGGGCAAGAAAGCTGATTTAAATTATCTTGAATGTGGCATGATGTTGATGCCAGATGGGCTGTATAAGTATTTCAGAAAATGCTGTTCTACTGAGATATTCCCACACAATCATCTCTAGGGCTTACAGAGATAGATCTGAAGAAGAGGAAATATCATGTGAGTGTCAGTTTTTTAGGTGAAAATTCTTAAAGTGACAGAGGCCAGAGGAGAATGGTCAGACTGCTTCACGTTGACAGTAATGCAATAGAAACTCTAATAAACACCCAAATTAGGCAGAAGAGCATCTGTGAATCCACAAGAGCATTGAAGCAGATGAGGTACAACAGCAGAAGACCACACTGGGTACCACTCTTATCAGGAGAAAGATGTTAGTAAGATGTTAAACCATCATGTCAATATGGACCAGATCTCTGAGGAATATTTCTTCCACCTTGTTGTATCTGTGCCTGAAGAGTTAGTGCAGTTCTGAGGGCAAAAGAGTCCAACCTCGTACTAGCAAGATGTAACTAAAGTGGCTAGTGACTGTTTGACCCACAAGTGATTTTTCCATTACCCAAGATGCTAAAAGTTGCAGAAGAAGTAGATCAATACATTCATCATTCACCAGTGTATGAATGTGAGAGTGAATGAATAGTGGTATTGTAAAGCGCTTTGGGTGCCTTGAAAAGCGCTATATAAATCCAATCCATTATTATTATTATTATTATTATTATTATTATATTCAACATTTTTATGATTTTAAAAAAATATGACAGTGTCACATATAGAAACATAAGACTCGGGGATATAAATCACCCTAATTGGTCACTTGAAGGTTAAAGGAAAGCGCAAAATAAAGAAAAGGATAATCATTTAGATGCAAACATCTCTGGAATGAGATATTTTCCCTCATTCCAGACTCTGCTGTGAGACACTTTGTTCTGACTCTATCGGGCTGCATAAAGCCTCACACCACTGAAAGCGGGACATACAAGCATCTTTGTTACTACGCAGTTTCGAGCTGAAACAGTGGGTGACGTGATGCTTGAAGACTTAAGGGTGATGCATGTAGATGGCCCCATTCCAAAAGTACACCTACAAAATGACTGCTAGAAATTAGAGAGTTCTGTCCTACATCAGTGCATACCAAAGTAGAAACCAGTGGAGGAGGGACCAGCAAGTCACCTCTGAATGCAGAAAACCCTACAGCAGCTGCCCACGGCTGCTAACACTGCCTGATAAAGAAACTGAACAGTCCACACTTACAAAGAAACACACATGTACCCTGGCTAAATCGGTTAATAGTTTACTGTATGTCAGAAAATATATCAATAAGTTGGTGAGCTTATTTTTGAACAACATACAGCAGCGTTAAGTAACCAATGAACATTATCCCATGTGTTGGAATCTTGAATGCGAGTTTGTTGAGCTGTCATTCATTTCCACTTTGACCTAGGCTGAGAAATTTCTGTGAATAATAGATGTATTATTTATTTATTTATTAATTATTGTTCCCCTTGGGATGCAGTATAGGCTATACTTTGCTGTGATCAATATTTTGGTTGTAAACACATGCTAATCTAATAACATCCCATCAGCTTTACCCGAACTTTGCTTTTTAAATAATCTCTTTAAACAGATATATGATTAATACTCACTGATTTATCTCATTATTAATCTAAAATTAAGGTTTGACTTGAACCAGCTTCTTCTTTTGACTGCTCCCTTTAGGGCCACCACACCCGATCATTTGCTTCCATCTTCTCCTATCTCTAGCATCCTCCTCTGTCACGCCAACCTGTGCGTGTTCGACTTCACATAATCCACAAATCTTCTCTGTGGTCTTCCTCTTTTCCTGCCTGGGAGTGTCATCTTCAACATCCTTTGTCCAACATATCAGCTGCCTCTCCTCTGCACATGTCAAAATCATCTCAGCCTTGCCTCTA